AACTACCATGCAGCCGTCCAATTCTGATCAAGAGAGCCTCTCACCGTTTGATCTTAGATCCGACGTCTCAAAATATTTTATTTTTAGTTTTTTTATACAAATTGTATGAATATGAAATTTGGTACGTGCCATCTTCTCATTGGGGCCTACCTATAAAAATTATTAAAAATAATTTTTTGATAAAATATAATAACCAAATACCCGTTGAATCTTTTAGGGTTATTTTGGTCATTTTATTTTATTGAAAATATTATTTTTATATTTTTCGCTAGTGTGAGTTTAACAGAGGAATGGACATGCAAAATTTGGCATCAAAATAGTTTATAGAAAAAACATTAAAAATAAAATAGTGTAAAGACATGACATTGTGATTGGGGCAATCTTAGCCCTCCATTCAGAATGGACGGTTGGATAAGGGGGAGAATTGAACTTTTATGTTGTAGGGAAAGCATAGAAAGCTTGCCCTATATATATATAAGCAGAAATGAACAGTGATTTCGCCTACCCTCATCACCATTCAAACTTCATCGTAAGGTTAAAGTTGTCCGGTAGTATTTCAATTTTCATTATTTTTTTTTTACAAATCGGAATGATCTGAATTTAGAGTGTGTGTACATCTTAGGGAGGTGCATGTAATAAAAATATGAAAAAAATAATTCGTAAAATATAAATTGATCAAAATACCCCCATAAATTTTTAGGGGCATTTTGGTCAAATTAGATTTTGTGAATTATTATTTTTTCATATGTTTATTAGGTGCGCCTCAGTAAAATGTACACACGCTCTAAATTTTAAGTAATTTGGATTTGTAAAAAAAAAATGAAAAATAAAAAAGTACCGGACAACTGTGATCGTATGAGGAAGTTTGGATGGTGATGAGGGTAGGTGCAATCACTGTTCATTTTTTCTTATAGGCGTTGGGAAGAGTTTTCTATATATATAGACCAATGATCCAATGCAACCGTTGTATCATAGTATAATGCAACGGCACTTCTAAAAGACCATGTTTGTGGTATTTGTATGACTTCAAATTTTGCACACACTCTCTTCATCTCAATAATCAATCCCCACAAAAAAAAAAAGTTCAATTTGAAGCCTAGATATAGTCAAAATGAGTCCCCTCTAAAAACGAATCTAGACCATTCATTTTGCGAATTTCAAGATCTTAGCCTTCATAAACTCAAAATCATTTTTTTCTTTTTTTAACATTGTTCATCTAATGATAATAAAGCCATCCAAAAACTTAGAAATGAAAAAAATTCTTCTAAGGCCTAAATCTAAGCATCTTATCAAAATGAACGGCCAATATTAATTTGGCTAAAAAAATACTTTCTAGGCTGTGTTTTCAACTTTTTCTTTTTTCATAATTGTTCATTAGAATGAAAAGAGTGTATATTTAAACTTTTGAATCAAACAAATGGCCATAAGATGGTTTTTTAATGTTGTTGCATCATATTACTATACAACAGTCGCATGAAATCATTGCTCATATATAT